TCAGTATTTCCACGTGTCAAAATTTAGTAACTGAGCTGAGTAGCAGCTTATGCTTCAGAATCTACACTTCTGCTTCTTAAAATGAACAGGAGGATCTGACACTTAACTTTTTTTTTATTCTCAAAATCCAATAACTGTCAAACATATTTACTATTGCATGACTAATTAAGGCACAAAAGAAATTAGATTGAATTACATTATAGCATTGTATGGTTTGCTGTGGTACCTCAGCTTGATCTTACAACTTAGTACCATTTTTTCTTGAGTTTGACCTCTCTGCTTGCTAGGTAACAAAGGTTATGTACTTTTAGGAAGGAAATAGCACAACATAAAAATGTTTAGAAGATTACATGGTAGAGGAACGTAGCATAGTTACAGAGAGAGACTGGAAAACAGTCACTGCTTTAGGGCATGAATTTCTGAAAGTGGGAAAGGCTTACAAAAATTCTCTTTGATATGTGAAGCTGATAAGCCAGGAAGATTAAGCTCTAGTATTCATAAATCAAACATTCAATGTTCCCGCCTTTCATGGTAGTCTGATGGACACCAAGGGATTTATCAGCTACAAACCTCTGAAAAATCAAGCCTTGTTTGGTTTGGTTTTAGGAAACAGAATCCCAAGTCTCAGAATATTTGTCTGTGGATGCTAAATGCAAAAAGCAAGAAGGGAACAGAGCCTGTGTGAAACTAAGACACACAGGCTTCTCACTCTGGCCTGAGAAAGCATGAGAAAGAATCCAAACAGTCTTTGGTGAAGGGCAACAATCTCTGCAGGTGCTGTTTAGGAAACAGTCAAGGAGTGGTGTTCCACTTAACCAGTGATGGTGATGTGTTGCTTTAATGACCAATGAGAGTTTACCTCTTGGACCTTCTCAAACCTGTCTATAAAAGAAGATCAAGAATAATAAACTTTGCTCTCTTGGACAATGCAGCTAAGAGAGTCAGTGTTGTGCTTCTCACAGTTCCTAATATAGTGCAACATCTGGTGACCCCAATGTGATGTCCATTGCAGCCACAAGCTGAAAGACATCTGGTGACCCCTTGACGTTCGCTGCAGCCACGAGCTTAAGGACATTTGAATCCCCATCCTCCTCCTTTGAAAGGAGTTTTTCCCCACGAGCTCCTGGAAAGCTACAGGTCTGAGTGACCCCGGACAGAGAGCCAGCCAGTGAGCAGGCCTGGAACGGCAATCTTGGCAAAGCTAGAGCTTGACTCCCGGGATAAGCCACTGCGTTTGCATATTGCATTTGCGGGCCGTCGGGATAAAGGTATTCCTGCAAAAGGAAACCAAAGTTCCTTAGAGGAATGACTCGTCCTTTCTCTGAACTGGATGTAAACACCATAGGACTCACTGTATCAGAAGGCTTTGAAAGAGTTACAGCTGTGGCCATCTGGGCATGGTAAGGCGAGAGCGGCGGCAGGGGCAGCAGCAGCAGTGGCAGGAGAAGCAGCAGGAACAGCAGCAGAGCGCCCGCCATGTGCCAACCCGTCCGGCATCTACCGCGCCTCAGTGCTTCCAGCCCGTCTGGACTTCTGAAAACACAGACCAACTCCAGTGATGCAGCTTTAAACAGAACACCGTGGTCACGAAGCTGAGAGGAAATCAGACAAAAGACGCTGTAACAAATTCACCCCATGGTCCCGCCCCCTGAGTTTTGTGGCGAAAAAGTTTGCTTTCTGAATGTTTTATGCCTTTAACCTTTCCTGTATTTATTTTAACAATTAGCCGCGTGCTCCCTGCAGCCGCGGGCAGAGACCCCCCCCTTCCCTCCTCGCTCTGGTGTCGAGGGGGCCCAGGGTGGCGGCCAGGCGGGGATTGGAAAGTAGTGGCTCGGGTTTCTTGGTCCGAACTCCCCTTCCCCCCACTCCTCCCGCCACGCAGCAAGCAGCCGATGCTGTAAGATTAACACAGCGTGGTGGGGGATGGGCGCAGGTTCCCCACTCCCACGGGGCGGCTCCGCCTAGGGAACTGCAGTTTGCCTTCACCCCCCCTTCCTCTGGGGGTGACGAATGAAAAAGTATTGATATATTAATTATAGAATGTGGATCTACTGACAAGATATTGTTGATAAGTTACAGTTTAAAAGATTCAATTGGTTTTTACACCATGATTATTAGAAATCTTGTTTAAAAATCATGTCATGTAAGACACTCTTTTCCAGTCAGGGTGGTAACTGGCCATGACTTTAGCTCTTTCTGAATCACCAACAAACCCAGATATCTCTGCTTGCAGTTTCTATGCAGAGAGAAGAAAAAAAAAAAAAAAAAAAAAAGGGGGATGATAAATTTGAACAAAGTATATTTGTATTAGAAATTTGAAAAATGAATTATCAAATCTACATTTTGATTGACTAACAACAGTAAAGTTTAATTAATTTATTAAATTGAAAGTATGCCTGTGTTTTATTATCAGCAGGTCAAAGAAGTCACATCAAAACTCCATCACCTTCGAAGAGTGAAAGAAGATGTTTCAATGTTCAAGAAGTCATCTCATGATGCTCAAGATCAACGTCTTCAGGTGATGAACTTTTCCCTGAGTTTCATTTATTTGGACACTAAGCTAAAAATTATTAATTTTCAAAAAAGATATAATTGTACCTCATGTAATATCTCACATGCCTTTGGTTTGTTTGTAGTTACCAAGAGCTGTGGTTTTTATGGTAATTGGAATCATGTAGATCTTTGGGAATCAAGTTCATCAAGCGAATTCTTTCATTGATATTAATGTTTTCAATTCAAATTATCATCCTACAGGTATCATTAGCAATTGAGTGAGCAATGGCCCGATCCTGCAATGAGTCTCTCTAAAACATACAAGCTGCAAAGCCCATGCAGCTCACTCTGGTATTTTCACACTTTTGCAAAAAAAAGTGTAAGTGCAAATACACACACACACAAACCACCCGCCCCCCCCCCCCCCCATACT